GATTAAGACAGTGTGGTTTTTAACTGTGCAACCATCTAGAACTACATGAGACATAAATGTTAATAAAGATGCCATATTGCTGTATATACCTGACTAATCGCGCCTGCCTGCTGGCTGCTTCAAGCTCCATCACTTGGCACTGTTCCTCACAGCATCTCTTCAGGCTTGGCAGCCTTCTTCTTGGCTACCACGAGCTCCTGTTGCCCAAACAGTCACAACACTCTTCTGCTACACTCCGCTGCTCTCCGTGGACGTGTGAATCTTCCTCTCTGTTGTCGACTGTTTCACTCTGGTCTGACTTGTAGCAGCCCTCGCTTGGTGCTCTACCTACGCTGGCTGTTAGCACTCAGTCTGTTTTTCTGTCCACTAACAGTGCACTCTCTGTGAGCCCCTTCTTTCTTCCTCCCCCTCTTCTTCTTCACTGTCCCTCCCTCTTGCCCTGCCCTTGACAGCCTCTCTGTCTTTTGCTGAGTGTGGGTTTATGACTCAAAAATTCACACACACATAAAAAAAACCCCCAAAAAACAGCTGTTTTCTCGTGCTTCTGTTTTGCCCCTTGCATTATTTAAATTCTCAGTGTAGCTTTACTACAATCAGAGATTTGGATGCCAGTCTTGAGTCATCACCCCCAATAAAAGCCAAAATATTCAGAGAATGAGGGGCACAATGAGACAAAGGCTTTAAGGCTCTGGCTCACTTCCAAAACCATGCCATGTGCTAGACAAAGTAAAGCTTTGAATTAGGAAAGCAATTTGACATTTGGTTGATGGATTGTTTAGGCACTTTAAATCTATTAAAGTTTAAATTATTAAAAGAAAAAGAAGCCTTAAGAACAGCTGTAAAACCTCTAGAAGCTGCATTAAAATATAAGATAACCAATTATTTTATAATTAGCCTGTCTAGACTTGAAAGGCTCCCACAATTAAGCAAAAATAATTTTCCCAGATGGTCCCTTCTTATATATTCTTTCTGCTATGCCAAGTCAGCGTCTTGTATAGCTGATTGTAGAGAGTACAGAAGAAAACTAATGATGCTCCGTTAATACAGCTATTAAAAAGAAGAAGAAGAAAGAAAGTACAGCGCTTTAAGGTTAACGGATTGAGAGTAATTAAAACTATGCCTGTTATATACTTATATGTACAAAAGCTTAACAGGAAGAAAGGCACTCAAAGGGAAACTGAATGCTGATAATCAGCAGTGTACACATGCCTCAGGAGAGTTGGTGTTATTGTAGCACAGGAGTAAGATATCAAAAGCATTTTAAGCGGTATGATAAGAACACGGGAGACAAGAGAAAAGTCAAGTGTAAGCGGGAGCGCCCTGAAGCCTGGTTGGCAGTTTCTTTAATCTAAGAGTATCTCCTGTGAAATGAGCTTTTCAGAATCCTGTGACCTAGACACAAACACTCAAGCTATTTGTCAACACTTAATAATAATCGGGCTGTCTTATAATTAGCTCACGTGTCCAGGCCATTTGCTTTTATCCAGGAAGGTCTTGACCCGGGATGCTCAGGATGTCCCGTTCTCACATGGGACAAATCAGCTAGCCTAGAGTAATTACTGACCACTCCCTTTTAACATAGTGAGCAGTCGCCCGCATGCAGTGACAGACAGCTGCATGGCTACTAATAGTCTCCTGTTACACGCTGAACAACCTGTGGGGCCATCTCATAGGATTATGGGAAATGCAGTTTCTTTTAGTAAGGAAAAAATGGCCAAATTAGCTTGAAAGGTCAAAGGTCAAGCATAAATCACACCAACAACATTTTATTCAGCAGCATACATCAGATGATTAAATCACAGGAAGATTTCTCTGGTCAAAGGTTTGTTATTGGTATTTTCATTTGAAAGCGACCTTGTTTGATGCCCGTTCACTGATTGAGCTTATACCGTGTTAATTATTTATTTAATTTGTTGTTAATTAATTATTTATTTAATTTTAAATTGATTAGACTTTTCCTAATAATGTAAATCTCGCATAATACACACATAGATTATCTACAATATCTACAATAGGGTTTAAGGTAATTTTGAATTAGTTCCTACTATGGAAACAATTTTTCTAGATAATAATTTGTTATTCATTCTAAGTATTGTGTTGTGACCTAATAGGTAAAATAGTTAAAGTTCGTGATCTACACTATGTGACATGTGATAACATAGAACATAATTTTCGCCATATTCCCTTAAACAACATTCATGATTAATTTTCTAGAGAAAAAAATACACACAATAGCACTTTAACATGTTTTGTGATGTTCCATATGTTACATACAAAAACGAAAGATCCAAAAAAGAGGAATACATTTTTGTGTGCACGTGGTTTACTACGTGTAGAATTGGTTTTCTGTTGTGGTGTACTGACAAGAACAATCCAGCAGGTGGTGCTGTTCAATAATTTCGTCCATCACAGTTTCTGCTGAGGGCAGTTTTCATTATGGGCATATATGATAAATAAAAATATGTTTAAAAAATACATTGATTAGCTTTATGTTAAAATACTTTATTATTGTATGTTTTAATAGTAAATAAAGAGTAGTACAGCCACAATTGGAAAAGAAAAGCCACAATTGCTACTTGCAACCAGAAAAGTATACATGTGAAACATTTGTCCAGCAGCAGAGCATGACAACAGTGTAAAGTGTTATGTATAGATAATATATAAAAGAGAGAAGGAGCAACATGAAACTGGTGACCCTATCAGTCCATGTTAGACTGCAGATAGTGTGAATGTGGGCTAGTAGATACATGACAACAAATCTTTTGGAACCAGTATAACTTCATCACAGTAATGCTTGAGTAGCTTCTGCTGTCGATCAGGTGGTGTGGAACCATGAAGGAATAATATTGTGGAAGCACACTGGAACAAACAGAACTTAGTACTGGTCAGTAACTGGTTCTATCTGCTGCACACAAAAAGCTCAGAGAGTGTTTGAAAACAGGACAATGGAGAAAATCCAACTCTCATCATATCACGCTCCTACGGCAAGATACATTCATAAAACGTTCTAACATTCAATTCAAAAATATTTAAAGGGATATTTTAAATTCTGTCTGTATTGTTTGCAAAGCATGTTCACACAACAGCAGGGATTGCTGGTCATTCCTCCCACCCTCACCCTGCATCCTCTTTATGCCATGCTAAATGTGTGACCATATGTGCCATTTGCTGTATAGCATATATCATTTTGCTCATGACACCAGCAGAGAGTTTCCACTCTTCAACTCTCTCTTCCAACTCTCATACCTATCATATGATCACATATACACATCCAAAACACGCAGTGAGGTGACACCATGGGTATGATTACTCTTGGATCCAAGTCTCCGGTTTCATTTTCTTTGGTCAATGATGGATGTTTGTACCTGTCATATCGGTTTAACTGTACTGGCTATAAATTCTTATATATACTCATCACAAGAATCACACTGAAATGGCCTAAATAAACTAAGCTAAGCTCAATTTGGTTGGTGCTTAACTGCCTAAAGCTAGAGGTGCAGTTTTTGAATATTACTATTTAAGAATAAGTAAATGCATAAAGTACAGAAAGCATTGATTTGATTACACATTACTTCATTTTGACCCCCTTTGGAGAGTGAGATTTCTATTGACCTGCTTCTGGAAGGGTAATGTCTGTATGTCCTCTGCTGTCTCAACACTGACATGACTGTCATTGTATGTACAGTATGCAGAAGCAATAACAACAGTTTAAGTGTGTCAAATACCAGAATGACTTGAATGCATTGCTTACTGGGGCTTTTCTTGGCACTTGTTAAAACTATATCAATATGTCTAACATCCAACTGGGGTCAGTATCTCTGTCTAAATATTACATTACATTAAAAATTGCAACATATTTAGTTGACTGACGTCTGTGGGTGCCTTGTGGGCAGGATAACAGTTAAATGAGTGCCAATTTTAGTTCCTATTAAGCTGATGCTTTAGTTTTGAAAGCAGTAGGAGATAAGGTCAAGCTGTCAAAGACAGAGACTAATGTTCGAGCTGGAGCATCTCACATGTCAAAGTGAGCCCCTTCAAACTCCAGGGAAGCAGTTTGTAGTCAGTCTTCTTTACTGAACAACACTGAAGGAGTTTTATGTTGTGCAAACTTAACACTGTGCATACGACTTTATTTTAACTACTTAAAAAGCTTCAGACATTGACCACAGACAGAAAAAGTGCAATTAATTTCATTTTCAGTGTTTCTGCATTAACGTTTATAGTAAAGTACTTAATTAACATTACAATACAGTATAGAACCAAAAACAAATCTCAAAAAGATAAATTGTATGTAATCCCGAATTTATCCAAATTTGAATATGCTGCATGTTTAATTAATTTAAATTATACAGATTATATTAGATAATAGGAATAAAGAGAAAGTCTTTCTGCCAGGTAAGAAAATAAGCTTTAATTCAAATATTTAGATTCATCATTTTAATTCTGTAGCAATATCCCTTTTGGATTTTATTTATTTATATTTCATTTATGCCAATTGAAATTTTACAACTACTACACAGTTAGACACCAGCCTTATGTCATTTCCATAGCAGCACTCTGGGGAATCACTATTAGATTTGGGACTTGGTCTGGTTTTACAATGAGTCTAACATGCACCTTGTGAGTGTACTTCTGCACTGCTTAAATCCTGATTTTGTCCCGACTTTTTGTTTTAGTTTTTTTGCATATTTTTGCTGTCTTCATGCTATAGCAACATTCACATTAGCAAAAAAAAGAAAAAAAGTCTCATTTTTCCATACTTTATTTTTGATTAACATTTTTTCATATTTAACATTTTACATACACTTATGTCTAACTAAATATATATTCTTAGCAAACAATAACAATAGAGAAATACAAATACACACATATTAGTATAAACCTCGAGTGGTCCTGCGTTTTCAGAAAAATCCAACAGTGTGGACAGCATTCAGAAGGTGAATCCTTTCTGAATATCTTCTAATTGCACTTTGTTCCCTTTGTTGTTTTTTTTTTTTACATTTCCTATGTTTTCCTCAGAGATACTTTAGTGTGTTGGTAAAATATAAGTTCTGATGATGTGGATGACCCTATTATCTGAGGATATTTTGTGTTTAAAACAGCCTTATTGCAGCTTTATTGCAATAGGATAACAGCTACTTCACTCCTCACCCAACAAACACTCAATTTTAGAAATGATTATAAGCTGCCTCTATGCTTCCACTCCTTTATTCCTCCATCTTTTTGATTACACACTCAGAGTTTGTTCCTACCCATAAACCTGGCATCAGCTTCTCCTTAAAGGAGCTCTTAAACTGCTTCAAAAGTCTAACCTCCTTTTCCCCATTGCTTTCTCCTCCCTCAATCACATCCTCCACAGCATAAAAATTAATGACACCAACAGGCTGGTCAACATATACACCTATTGTGGAGCACCTGGGAAGCTCCACAAGCTGTGTAATGCGACCGTTGTGCCAGGCATGATAGCTGGAACCACTCCAGCCGAGACCCCAGGACTCCTCGTTTTCTCCCAGGCCACAGGGCCCATCCTTGTTCCTTCTTCCAGCTCCTGCGTATGCGACTCCAATCACAACCCATCCAGAATACTCCATTTCCCAGTAGCCTCGGCTTCCCAGGATTCCCTCTTTGCAAAGAACCTTATGCACAGAGGTGATAATGTCACTATAATACACACTGAGCTAATCCTATAGCGTAATGTGAGAGAATTTCAAGCAGCATTGCTTTCTCCTTTTGGAAATACAACACCAGTAGGTTCAGGTTTGAAATAAACTTGGGGTACATACTGTTTCCAAGCACATCTAATTTTACACCATTGTAAACATTTAAAATTAGCGGAAAAGATATTTGTAATATATGCCATTTCTGGCTAAATGCATCCTCATACTCTACCTGTGGAACGTACTCATATCGGTCTGGTGTGTCCAAGACAGGACACGCGAGGTTATCAGTCATTCTGGCCACTTTGGCACCACCATCTGTGATCCACAGCATTTTATTGGCTGTTTTGTCATCCAGAGACAAGTTAATCCAATCTGACAAAGCAAAAAATAAATAATAATAAACAATAACTTAACAAATGGTGCTTGGAAAGAATTGTAAAAAAAAACACAAACTGCACAAACAAACTTACATTTGATAAGATCAGCTCTCCATTTGGGTTCAGGGATATTTGTCTCATACCCTGGGATCTTCTCTGCTGAGCAAAATAACAATAAATGTCAGGAGATACTAAACAAGTTAGATGAACCATAGTGGGGTCAGCCTTTAAAGAAGGTATGATTTAAAAAAGAAAATCAAAAAGATAATCCAACCTGTGGTAGGATTCAAGTCTTACCTGTGGGCGTTTTTACCACTTTGGCCTTTTTCCCTGAAACCGAAGAAACCTTTATTAACATCAATATTCTTAACTGGTATAAATATTATGTGGGTAGGTGACAGGTGCATCTCAAGCGGTGATGAAGTGAACCACAGGAAAACTGGGTATACTTAGAAAAGCCCTTTGTCATATCATCACATCAGAGATTGCATGCTTTCTAGAGTCAGTGGTTGATTCATGGCAGGCAGTTGGAATGACCACGACATCTCATATGCTGTTGGGGTTGGCTTCAGTCACACTAGAGTGCAGTGTGAAGCTCAAAGCAGATTATGAGATGAGAAGAGTGACATGATCTGTCCGTGCAAATCAGATAAGTTGGGGATTTAGATCCTAAGCTAGCTTATTGCCACAAGATCATAGGAAAGTCATCCAAGTGTCAAGTCACACCTAGCTGAATTAAAGTCAGAGTTAATGCAAAGATAATAGATTGCAACACATGCAACATGGGCATCCCTAAAATTAATAATGCAGAAGGCTGATCTTAGCAAAATCACTTCCCTCTTAATTCCTAACTGATTAATTGTTGCATAACAGGCACTTAAGCCAGATATGAAAGTGATATTTTGCTGTCACGCATAAGGATGCAGTCTCACTGCATTAAGATATGAACCTTCAAAAACACAAGTAATGGGATGTATTGATATCAACACGCATCATCTCAGAATATTAATCTACAAACATGTAGCTGCTCATATCTAAATGGTTTAAAATATCTGCTGCAATATATCTGAAAATTGTGGTGACAGAAAACAGACTAGACAAAAACAGTAGATGATACCTGGAATTGTAATAAATGTATTCTTTTTGTCTTTTTCTAAATTATGGTACTGATTCATTTACTGTGTTTCTGTTCACCCTTTGACTTTTGTTTTGCATTAGTTAAGATAAGTACAGACAAGTTATAAGCTATGATAAGATCTGCAAAGACACTATTTGTAAAGATAGTATCTGTTCAGTGGAGGCTGAAAACATATGACCATTTTCGAAGTTGTTCTTGTAACTTACAGTATAATACATAAATGCATTCCCATGGGTTACATCTGGTTCAGGCAGATGATGCTTTTTGTTTTTAAACCATTGCTCCCATAATACCATTATAAACCCATCAACAACAAACAAAGAAATGTGAAAGTATTGTAAATAAATTTTGGGTTTTTTAAAGACATTTTTATACAGACAAACTCTGGTCAACCATTCTCTCAGGATCTGCCTGTGAGGATTAAGAACACTTCACTGCTGAAAATGCAGTTTGGTTCACCTCAGCAAGTACATTTAAAGCATATCACTGTAGTATGTACATGCTGGAAAAAGGAAAGGAAAAAATAATATATTAAAAAATCACCTTTTTCTGCCTTCCTGGTCTCCGAAATGATTCTGTTGGTGTTAGGCATCTTGATACCAGCTTGCTATTTGAGTAGCTTGAGTCTATCTCGACCTGATGTGGCTAGTCTCACTGAGGATGAAGAGCATTTGTTGACTGGACTATGGGACAACTTAATGCAGTGCTTATATACCTTTGGTGCAGGACAGAGATGAAGGAATCATCATTGGTGGTGACATAAGAGATAAAAGTTACCAATAGAAAAGAAGGGGAGGCAGGAGGTTTGTAATCAGAGCTGTGTATGTATGTATGTTTTCCTTTTAAAGTATAGAAGGATTCTTCGCCGTCTCTAGAACGCCCCTTTTACCAAGTAAACCCCACCCTATTCTCTCTACATCACCTCCAGTGATCTCTCTACATTGCCCACTGACAGTGCTGATGTACTTATGGTGGATGTATGTGGGAGCAAAGCTATGCAAACACACACACACATACAAATTCTAAGTACCAATCTAAAAAAAACAACTTTAGCTTTTAGATATGATACTTTATGTCCTTACAGCAATACAAATAATAATAAAAATACTAATACATTCAGTTACAAGTAGCTTTAGATATGAATTTAACTGTTTTAAATTATTATCATTACCAAGGTTTTTACTATTGTAAACTATTATACTTAAAATTCTGTTACTTAAAATACTAATGCAACCTGAAAAGAGGATAGATTCTTTTTGTTTTCACTTTTTAAAATACATTTACAATCGCTATGCAACATCCATATCACTGTACATATCAGCACACATGCAAATTAGTTTTAGTTCAAGTTTTAATCCTGAAAACCGGATTTAATGTGACTAAGTGTGGCCCAAATACTGCGACAGGGAGTTGCCTGAGTGGAGGTTCTTTGGTTCATCGTACCAGGCTCAGCTGTGCTCATGCCCCACATCACTTCCTCATAAACCGTTCGCCATTACAGATGCCTCAATGTGAACATGTCGGGTTAAAAGAAAAAAGCATGTCGCTGATTGTAAACCCGTTCTTGTGATCATCTTTCTGCTCTCCACAGGCAGGCTGCGTGACTGAGGTGTTTACTGTTTCCGGCAACCTGCCAAACCTCATGTCAAGGCCACCTCATGATTCTTGTGTTCCTGCATGTGAAAGCAGATGACTCACTGAAGCGCTGATTGCAGTGCTGACATTAAATAGTACATGCCGTACATGCCATGCACTGTGGTGTCAGAAGTGTCCCAGAGTGCCCAAGTGTTTACATCTGTGTCTGAAATACTTTGTTTCTTCTCTCACATGATGATAATAAACATAATGCATTGATCATTTGAAACTTTTAAATAAATAAATATAAGTATGTTTTATTAATGTTGCTTAGTGGGAAAAGACCAAAAATCTACCAAAAACAGTATATAAAATGGGAACACAAGTACTATATAAAAGTAGTAATAAAGGAATAAAGAAAAATGTGTTTACTTTAAAGTAATGTTTTTAAAACAACAGTGGAATCTGGTTCCACTTCAAATGAAACCAAATAAACCAGGTTTATCTTTCTATCGATCGCCATCTCTAAAAGGCCCCCTCTGTTCTAGGACAGGATGAGCACATTAATGAACATGATGGTATTAATTATATTTCTATTATGTAAAAAACAACAACAAAAAAACAAAACAAATCAAAGCAACTCAGCTTAGGGGTGGAAACGTGGATTCTGGAAAAACCTGGCACTCACCCGGACCATGACAATCAGTATGTAGTGTCACTAACACTGTGGGACTCTATAGGTTTCTCTGGTCCTCAATCTTGTCCTTCAGTGCTGCAACCACTGCATGTCATTAACGTTCTTCTCGTTCCAGGAGATTTTCCCCTTCTCTATACTCTCCTGGGAACATTAATCCATCAGTATCAGATGAACTGTTCAAACTGTACCTCAGCTGCCCTGAACTCTTCATTCTTAACCTTACCTTGTTAACAGGAAACAGGGGAGTTAGAGGATTAGACGGGTGACATGAAAGCAGATCCTGAGAAGTAATGAACAAGGCTGCATGTGAGCACGTAGATAGGGAATCCAGAGAAGGAGGCGGTAAATTAGGCAGAAGGTATGGACCCAAACTTAGTGCTGACATATGTTCATAACACTGGAATAAGGATCAGTAATTACAGGATTGCACGGACAGTTTTTATGGATAAACTGCACGGGGATCTGTATGAAGTGTACATGAAGTCATAATCTGAGCATTATTATTATTAGTAGTAGTAGTAGTATTAGTATTATTATTATTTTGAGTTTCTTTGGATGTGAAAACCAACAAAATAACTTAATTAAATATATCTTCTTTTACTGCTGATACTGTGACATTGTGACTCCTACTATAAACTGTCAAATAGAAATGTGGACCATACTTTAATTGTGGGTAAGAAAAAGCTGTCTCTGTCTCCCCCTACTGGCTGTCATTAGGAACAACATGTCCCAACAAATCTGGAAACTGTAATAGCTCCTCTACAATACAGCCAGATGTTCAGCAATTGTTCTGCTTGGATGGACCTATATTTGCACCATAGATTAGTCTTTAAAAATAAAAGCAAACAATAAAAAATAAAATTTTGGATCATTTGAAGACGTCAGGGGTTTTATAACAATATTACATAAAAGTAAACTCCTATAGAGCTGATTTGGAACAAGTTTTTCATGATATTAATGTTACATGGTTAAACAGATTTCTTGAACATGAGAGAGTGCATTCTTTTTAACTGCTTCGATTGCAATTTTTTCCCCCTCTTTCAACACAGGGTGAACTTTTACAGTAACACTCCCATCTTACTGATCACAGGACATTCATTCTAATGCTTCTAAATTTCTCTTTTTTAAATCTATCAACATGCAGTGTTTGAACAAGGCTCAGAAGGCGATAGATGCCAACAGAGGACATGGGAAGTATCATGAAATTTGCAACACTGAGGGTTATGTGGAGAAGTAACACAATTGTCTAGAAAAGGAGACAGTGAGACACAATCACGAGCAAACACAAAAGGTTTTTATTAATGATTAATCTTAAAGTAAGTGCCAGGCTGCTACTACTAACTAACACAAGAACAAACACAGCAGAGGCTGGTCAACAAAGCAATTCATAGATTCTCCTAAGAGGAAGCCTAAGCGGTCACAAACACACAGATCACATGAAGCAAAGTCAAAAGGCACTTTGGCACTGGCAGTGTCTTCTGCATCAATTTGTGCCAAAGCTAAGTACTGACAGGACAGCTCCTCAGATTACATTGCCTCCACGGGAAAAAGTGTGGTTTCTAAGACAGAGCAGAGAGCGCACTAAACTAAACTAAACTAAACTAAACTAAACTAAACTAAACTAAACTAAAACAATACTTTCGCCATATGAAACTAGTACTTTTCTTGCCTAAAAATGAGTACTTTTTAATCTAAACTGAGTACTTAGAGTACTTAGTAGAATATTTTTATCTAGTTTTTAAACTAACCAAGTACATAACTGGTCTCTTCTGCTTAGAAG